TTAGAGGCTATTAACATTTATGTGGTTACTTGAAACCAATGCATAGTCCTTTTTTCCTTTTTACATTAGAATACTTCAGTTACATTTTAATTTTTAGTTTATGTGTGTACATGCACGCTTGGTGTACACACCGTGGCACACTTGTGTTGGTCAGAGAATGACGTGTGGTAGTCAGTTCTCATTTGCCACCTGTGTAGCCCAGGGATCAAGCTCGGGGTCAGACTAGGTAGCAGGCACCTTTACTTACTGAGCCATCTTGTTGGCCTGCTCCCCCTCTCCCACCTTCTTAAGCATTGCTTAGTTCCTAAGACATAGACCTGTTCGGCACTATTTCTAGCTCCCTTTATGGTAGAAAGGGTTGTACTTTTTTTTTTTTTTTTTTTTTTTTTTTTTTTTTGGAATACTGAGGATTGAACCTAGGACCTTGTACATGCTAAGTGTTCTTTCTGCATCTGAGCTACAGTCCCATTTATTTTCTGCACAGAGAGAGAAAACTGTAACATATGTCATATCTTGTTTCAGACTGGTTCTGTCTTGAGTGTCATTTGAAACCTTTATTAAAATGTAAAAATATAGCTGGGCCATGGTGATAAAAGGTAGAGGCAGGCGGATCTCTGAGTTCGAAGCCAGCCTGGTCTACAAAGTGAATTCCAGGACAGCAAAGACTATTACACAGAAACCCTGCCTCAAAAAACCAAAAATAAAAAAATAAAAATATAATGTCTATGAGATGTCTGAGTAGATAAAAGCACTTGCTGCCAAGCCTGATGACCTGAGTTTGATCCCAGGAACTCATAAGATGGAAGGAGAAAACCAACTCCTGCAGGGGCTCTGCCACTCGAATGCATGTAGATGTAACCAACCGTCTTATTAAAATAAACCCAGAACCGATGTAAAAGAGAAAGCCGAGAGGTCAGAGCTCAGAGCTAAAATCTTACCTCCTGCAGTGCTCCTACCTCCCTGAAAGAGAGCTACTTCCTGTGTGTCTGTCTTTAAATAGTCTTTCTGTTCTGCCTTCTCATTTGTTGTAAACCCAAACACATGACTGCCTCATCACTGCCTGTAAGTACAGCCCTCCAGGTCTTAAAGGCGTTATGTTTCCAATGCTGGCTGTATCCCTGAACACACAGAGATCTGCCTAGCTAGCTCTTTTACCATGTGCTGGGATTAAAGGCGTGCGCAGCCGCCGCCGCCGCCGCTGCCACCACGGCAACTGCCACCACCACCACCACGCTCTTGCTATGGCTCTAATAGCTCTGACCCCCGGGCAACTTTATTAACATACAATGAAAATCACATTTCAGTACAAATAAAATACCACCATACATGCATGGCACAAAAACATGCACACACATACTTAAACATATATGTGAAAATGAAACAGGCCAAAAAGTATATTTATTATCTGGAGTTCTTTTAGAAAGATCATTGTCTCCTGTGGTTATTCTCAAGAAATACCGTTTTCCCCCATTGTGTTGGTTCAGTGAGGAAGGAAGGCAACAGTTTAGTGTTAGCCAGCGTGTTGTACTTGCCAGTTACTACTAAAATAAACACATTTACCCAGCAACCCTGTTTGTGTCAGGAAAAACCCAAGTCTTCGCTAAAGCTCTATGATTGCTGAGATATATACCATGTTTATAAAGCAAGTGTCAACTTCTAGGAAAAAGAGCCTATGATCCTTTCTTGAGACGAGGCGCTATTGCTGTGTGGCCCAGGCTGATCTCAACTCATGGACATAGCACTCTTACCCAGCATCTCCAGTGGCTGGAATGGGGGGTGAGGGCTTTACATCACCTGGTGTCATTGTTACTTTGTGAATTAGTAAGCTCAGGAATTGAGAATGGCACCAACAGGGACATCACTGTCTATTCCAAAGATGGGCAGAGGATGAGAGTTTTTTTTCTCCTTGACTTTGAAAGCTATAACCTAGTCTTTCTTGCTGCCCGTCTGTCTTAGATATGAGTCTCACTATGTATTGTTATACTGGCTTGTATCAAACTTCCATCTCCCAAGGAGCTCAATAATCTCAACATGATCCTTACTTTTTTTTTTTGCTGTTGTTGTTCTGGGTAGCCCTGGCTGTCCTGGAACTTGCTCTGTAGATAGACCCTGCTGAACTCCTGCCTCTGCTTCCTGAGTGCTGAGATTAAAGGTGTGTGCCATAACTGCCCCGCTTTCCCCCCCTTTTTTTGAACATTGGCTTGAAGTGGTATGTGAGGCTGGAGTCTTGCCTCCACTGCTCTATATGGCGCTGAACAAGTTGAAATACAGTACCTGCTATGATTTTAGTCTTTCCATCTTTTTTTTTAATGATAATTGATCCAGGATTTGGAGGCCACTGATGGCAAGGCTTACCTTAATTTCGCAGTACTGTTCATGCATTCAGGATCAGAAGTGAGAAACCCCATGAAGCAGATGAGTTAGGCACAGAATGACAATGAGGGGAAACTGCTCATAGCCTTGGTATTTGAACCCAGGGTTTTGTAAATGTCAAACACTCTACCAACAGAACTACATCCCCAGAACGAAGAACAACCTTCAGGCTTAGTTAGGAAACTGCCTTTTGTCACCAAAGAGGAAAATGTTTGGCAGATTGGTGATTGCCAGCTAGGACTGAAGAATGTTATGTCTGCACCCATCTGAAGTACACAGCTGCCACCTACAGTGCAGTGCTCTTTAATGCTGCACACTCTGTGACAGTTGTTGGTCTGTCAGCCTTTAGTTTGTTACCTATAACTGTGTGTGCAAACACGGACATTAAGGAGCTCGTATGAAGGTCGGAGGACAGCTTGGGAGAATCACTTCTGACCAAATCAAGCTCAAGTCATCACTTTTTTTTTTTTTAAAGATTTATTTATTTATTACGTATACAGTGTTCTGCCTGCACATATGCTTATAGGCCAGAAGAGGGCACCAGATCTCATTACAGGTGGTTGTGAGCCACCATGTAGTTGCTGGGAATTGAACTCAGGACCTCTGGAAGAGCAGCTAGTGCTCTTAATCTCTGAGCCATCTCTCCAGCCCTCAAGTCATCACTCTTGGCAACATTCTTTACTCGCTGGTATTACAAACTTGTTAAATTCTGAGAGTCTGAAGAGCTTCCCCTCATTTTGTCTGTATCTCCCTTATGTAGCCAAGGCTAGCTTCCAACTCAGTGTGTATCATCATTTTCTTCTGTGTTTACCTCCCAAGTACTGGGATTACAGGACCAGAATCCCTGGGGAACTTTAGGAAAGCTCTGAAGAGACTCAAAACTTAACATTGCCTTCCTAACTACGGAGAAAAGAAGTCTGCTCAGCTTTATGTAGTTAATTTGGCATCTTACATTCTTCTTGGACACATTGGACTGGCAAGTAGGATTTAATATAGCTTTGCAATTCTTGCCCCTTCTATCTATTTTCCTAGGAACAGATAACAGGAAAGAACAGAATGTAAGGAGCCATCCCATTTCTATTTTATTTAGGCCAGGCCTTCCTATCACTGCTCATTGTTTCCTGGACAGAGATAGGGAGGACTTCAGAGCCAAAAGGAAATTTTGATACAGGTGTAGCTCAGAAGAGTCCAGTCACTGAGCTTGGAAAAGAGGGAAACTACTGCCTTCAAACCGGGAGACACTTGCAGGCCCTGATCGCGTGCTGGGCTCCACTCTCAATGTATCCATTCAGCCTAGAATAGGAAGCAGCTGCAGCAGAGGAGAGCAGTTAAGAATGTACTGCAGGCAAGTCTTAAGTATGCCAGCTGTCATGGATCAGAAAGACTGGGGGTATCCTGTTTTCTAATGTCTCTGAAAGTTGGGTTGGTTCTTGGCTGGCTGTGTGAAGAGATTGGTATAATATTTGAAGTTGAATTAAGTTTGCATTCTCAAGTCCTTTAAAACCTCCATAGGTCTTAGGAATGTAGTGTTGTGTTGTGATTTGGGAGGATTCACATTTTGTTTTTGGAATCTGTTTTCTAAAGAGTTATTCTGATCCTAACAAAGTTGCCAATGTGTCCTCCCCACCACACACACCAGCCCTGCACCCTACAAAGAGTGTATTGTTCATGTACCCAGTGTACTCTTAAAAAAAAAAAAGACAAACCCGACATGCACCTGGTAAGAATGTATTTTTTTTTCTTCTTAAACTAGGCCCACAGCCACAGCACAGTTCTTTAAAATGGGACAGGTGTTACTTTAGCATCTTCCCAAAAAGAGGAAAAAGTCCAGGATTGCAAGTTCCAGTGGTCTACATAAAAACTTTGGGATGTAGATCCAAAGAAGTTAGTAGCATAGTGTACTTTACCATGGTGAGACCTGCATGTAAAAAAGTAGTCATCATTCAGACTTCATAGGTCTTATATGAAATTGGGAGAAAGTGCCTTAACAGGCAGTCCTTGGAAGAAGAGAGTGAATAGAGTGCTGTTAAGTCTTTGTGTAGGGAGCTAGAGAGATGGCTCAGCAGTTAAGAGCACTGGCTGCTCTTCCAGAGGTCCTGAGTTCAATTCCCAGCAACCACATGGTGGCTCACAACCATCTAAATAAATCTTGAAAAAAAAAAAAAAAGTTGTGTAGGGCTTTCGTGATACCAAATTTTAAGACGGCATTGCTTATTTTCCTTGAAATAAGCATGGATTCTCTTTTCTCTCTGCCCTTAGAGGAAAGCAGATCCTGAATACATTTCAGGTTGGATTGTCCTGTGTCTGGGATGGCAACTGCCAACTCACTGGTGCACAAGGGTGCTGGGGAGTAGGCTGGCCTGCCTTGCTTGAGTGTCAAGGAGTAAGAGTGGAGCTTGGAAAGTGAGCTCAGACGTGGTCAGACACAGGCCCCTGGAGGAGGTGCTGAGAGTGGTCAGGCCCAGGCCCCTGGAGGAGGTGCTGAGAGTGAGTTTTGGTTTTTGCAGCTTGGCAGTCTTGGGATCTTTGTACACACTAGGGAATACACTCCACATTTTGTGACAGCTAAGAAGGAAAGGAACATTAGGTGGGCACTGTTAATTGAAACAGCTTACTACTCACGTCTGTGAAAAACAAACCCAGTAAAAAGTATCTTTATTCTCATTTTAAAAAGTTTTTCTATGATAATGCATTAATACAAAAATATTTTGGATACTACATCAGTTTTTTTTCCCCTCCTTTTTGAGACAAGGTCTCTATACAACCCTGGCTGTCCTGGAACTCAAGAGAGATCCACCTGCCTTTACCACCCAAATACTGGGATTATAGGTGTGTACCACCACACTCTGCCAGTCTTTTCAACACTTGTAACACTATACTAGAAACATGATCTTTGGATTGAGAAACCAGTGGCTAAAAGTAGGAACTAAAGGCTTTTTTTTTAAAGGTGTGTAGAATACATGAATAACCCCTTTTCTTTGGATTCAAGCTATATACAGTGAATGAAAAAAAAAAACAGTTAAAACAAACAAAACTTGTTTTTCAAGGCTCAAGGTTAAGTTTGGCTCAAAAAGGATTTCTAGAATGTGGCAAAGAACCATGTCCACTAAAGAGGTCTTATGGGCTCCTTGCTTTGGTTGTAACAGATCTCTTCCTGCAGCCCCATAAAGTGAAGCTGGCTGGCCAGTTCTAAATGCCGAGATGGGCTCTGGCTGTTGGGGATTTGGGATTTGCCCACGAGCTGTGACTCAGCTGACATAGATGAGCTGGAGATGGAACTGGGAAGGGTGCACACTGTGTTTAGGCCAACTTCAATTGATTGACTGTAGTTTCTAGGGCTGGTGAGTTTCTCAGGAAAGACGTCCCAGTCATTCTAATTAAAGCTGGGTACTGTCCACCAGTGGGGAGGGTTGGTGCCTGGGGTGAACGGCCTTAAACTTCACCTATCCCAGTTCCTCCTCTTGCAAGCTCCTGAGAACACATAAGAAGCTTCCTCTGGCCCAGCTTAGGAACAGCAGCTGTTACTTGTAAACAGAGCTTCTCAGCTCCTTAAGAGAGAAGCGTTATTATTTAGACTTGTGTGGCTGGTTACCAACCACGAAGTCATCTTGTGTGGTAAACCAGGTATTCTTGGTCCAAGAAGTACTGGCATGGGGAAAGTGTGGCAGAGGGCAAGAGAAGCATCTGGGGAGAAGGCAGCTGGACTCAGTCAGTCCAGCTCATCTGACCTGCAGCAAAAGAAAAAAGAAAAAAACAAAACCAAAACCAGTAGGGGCTTCGAGCTAGCAAGACATGATAAAAAGGTGTGGCTGCCACGGGCACCAGGCTGCCCTTTGGAGACAGCTCCACAGATCTTATCCCTACCCACTGAACTGATGGCCTCCAGTTCAGGGAGTCGTTAGGCGGCCTTTGAAATCTTCAGCACCTTAGAGAGGACCCCTAGCTGGTTCCGAGTGATCTGGTCTTGCTGCCTCCTCTTGAGTTAGGGGTGGCCCCTGGAGCAAGCCAGGCGTCCTGTGCATGCTAGGCTGCCTGTCTCTGAGGTTCCTGTTGCTGTACCTGGGTACTCTGCAGGGTGCTGCTGTGCAGGCTCTTTGGGGACTCAGAGGCTGGAAGAGGGAGAGTTGCAGAGCGCCCTGAGAAGGTTGGTGCTGGCTCCGCTGGGCTAGCAAGCAGTTCTGTGGGGAAGTGGGGCAGCAGAAGATACGAGGGTGAGTCCTGGGGAGCTGGGGACCGGGGGCAGCCTAGAGCACTGTCATCGGAAGGAACGGGGCTGGGGCAGCGGCCTTCTCCGGGTAAGTACCGAATGCATTTCTTTTTCCTCCTAGGAATAGTGAAGAGAGTTATCTGTAAACAGAGGGTGAATCCACAGTCACACACCACAACCAGAAAATGGCTGTCCTTGAACTGGCCTGGCTAACCACTTTGTCCTGTCTGTGGACTGGAAACTATGCCCATTCCTTCAGCCCCACCACTTGGCCCAGACCTAGGATGGGTGCAATTACACAGAACAGCCACAAGATGGCAAGAGGAACCTTTTATGGGTAGGCCTGTGGGCTTCCTTCTGTTTTCCAGGGGAACTATCTCTTAGTCTGGATCCTTGAGCTACTGCTCCATGTATACTTGCAGAGATTAGATCGGCATTAGGTCAAGGGACCATGATGCTTGTGAATAATCTTGGTTCTCACAACCAGGCTAGTGGAAGAAGAGCGTGGTGACTGTTGCCTACTAATAACTAGCGCTCTGGGCATCCTTGTTTAGGACAGGGTCTCCTAATGCAGTGCTGCCTGGCCTGCCTCAGCCCTCTGAATGCTGGGGCTACAGGCGTACACCCGTCCCCAGCCATAGTTTGTCTTGAGCAGCACAAATGGATGGGATAGGACCTCTTCTAGGAATGGAACCTCCATTTCCTATTGTGAGCACACCACACACACACACACTTCTTTCCTTTTCTCTTGAATGCTTCTCTCCTCCAGCCTCTGTAACCTTTCTTGGTGTTAACAGGTACAAGATGGCAAAGTCACACACAGCTTCCTGGTGATCAGACTATTTCTAGAAGTCTCTGATATCATCATTTTGCCTTTCTTAAGCAGGAATTTAATTTTAAGGAAAAGGGGGAATTTGTAGACCTTAATCACTCTGAGGCTAGGAGTAGGGGCTCAGGCCACCTAAGTGTGACAGACTGGTTTCCTGAGGACCTGGTAAATCTGGCTGGTACCAAAGCCACCCACTTGTGTATGCCTTTCTTTCCTTCTAGAACAGTCTTTCCCTCTCTACTTGTCCCATCTAGACTAGTCATCTCCACAATCTGTATTCAGTGTTCACACATATTCTTCTTAGGAGGCATGGGTCCTTTTCTACAGGGCTTGCTAGGGGACTGAGGGCCAAAAGAGAGGCTGCAGACCCGGCGGAACATGTGCAATAAGGGAAGCAGCTTGAAGCACAGGGGAATGACGGTGGGGACAACCCACCTGCACGGACCACACCAATCCGTCTGCTGGTTGAGGCCAAAGCGAGCACGACATTTCTTAGGCGAGCCAGGGTCTGCTCACAGCCATGCCAGAGGGGCAGAACAGGGCAGAGGGCGAGCAGGCAGGCAGCAGGGCAGAACAGGGCCCAGAAAGAAGAGGTAACATCAGTGTTAGCCAGTTACAGACACCCCAGAGCCCCCACAGGCAGAATGGACCTCTCCATGGCATAGCGGGCCCCAGGGGAAGCCTTAGGACCCAGAGCAAGTTATGAGAAAAGGCAGTCACCCAGTTGGGCAAGAGTCAGTGGGAAGAATGATGGAGTGTGGAGAAAGTCCTCATGCTACCCTCCCTTGGCTGGTCATCCTGGCGTGGAGGTTCCAGAACTGCACAGGGATCTTTTAGGGCCTCTGCATTTTCTATCCTGGGCTGACTGGTCCCTTCCCCTAACTACTGCATGTTTTAATGCGGTTTCTCCTCATTCTTGTCAATGCCCCATCTCCCTCTGGCCCACATTCCTAAAAAGACTAAAGGTACAGCATAACTATACCTCATGTTCTACACTTAGGAGATGGAAAGAAGGACCTGCTCGTATCCTGAGAGAAGGGGCTAGAGGACTTTTTCCTGTCCTGTCCCAGACCTAGGCTCCAGCTTTCCTGTTTGGGGCAACACTGAGAATGTCATGGATTTTCATCTAAGTCGGAGCTGGGGACAAGAAGGAGGCATGCAGCAGGACGGGGGCTCTGTAGCACTCTACACTGCCAGGAGAAACGGGAACCAGTGGCGGAGAAATCACCAGGCACCTGTCAGCAGGCTGTTGACTACTTTTGGGTCCTGGCTGACGCTTCTGCTTTAGACTCAGAACCATGTAACCAGTTCATTAACTTCTCTGGGGAACCTAGCCGAGAGCAGGGCTGACAAAGGTAGCCCAGGGGTCACGAGAAAGCTGACTGCTGCTGGTCTGTCCCTAGACTACAGTTCAACTCTTACTGCATGGAATCAACTCCAGAAATGCAGGTTGCTTCCGGGGGCTCAGGCCCTAAAGGTTCCTGGCTGAGTATTCCGTCCCACCCTTTGGCCCAGAGGAGGGCTGCTCTTGAAATGGGAGCATGGAGAGAGGAACTTCTAGTACTACTGAAGCAAGGCCTCACCTGTGGTCGACTCCTGATGCTTTTCCCTTGACCGTCTCTTCTTCTTTCCCTGCAGGAACAAGAGAGATGGTTGGTTCTAGGAGGCAGACACTGGGATGTCTGCAGCTCTGCCTTTGAGATTCTAGGTCAATAGGCCTCACCTACTTTGGGGCTCCTCTTTCTTGGCTGTAGTACTTACAAGGCTACTGTAGCTGGGATACATTTAGGAGTCTCTCCCTTTGTCAATCTGATCTCCCCTTGAGTACAGGGAGGGATTTCTAGGCCCCTTCTTCATTCCCCCTCTCTCATGCAAACCAAATACCAGGCAACAGTCCCACAAGGGAATGTACTCTGGAGTGGAGAACCTGCCATTAAGGAAAGGTACTTAAGCTTTCCTCTTCTGAAACAGTCAGGGGAGGTCTTGGGCTCTCCATGTGTTACCTTGCCCGTACTGTCAAGACAAAAACTCCCCTTCCCATGCTGCGGTGGTTGTCTTGGGTAAGGAATCTCAAAGGTCCCGCGCCCTTCCCTGTGCTGTATCACCGGCCACTCACGTAGTTGTCCCGCGCTGACCAGCCTGGGTACAGCTGCATGTGCAGCTGCCTTTCCTTGCGGGCCAGTTCATAGTACTTGGCCTGCTCTTCTCGAGACAGTGCGTGCCACTGCAACAGAAAAGCGGGGTAGATGGATGCATCAGGGAGTTAGGAGGCTGTACCAGGGTGAAAGGGGTTGGGGGCAGTCCCTGCCAGCCCACTAGCCCATGGCCTTACCCTGCGACCCAGGATCTGGTTGATGGCAGCACTTTCCTTGAGGGTACACTCTGCAATGACCTTGGCTCTCATCTCCTTCATGTAAAGCATGAAGGCATTGAGGGGTTTTTTGATGGTTGGCTTCTTAGCCTCCTTTTCCGCCTTGGGTTCTGCCTGTGTTTTCCTAGGGTGCACAACCAGATTACATTACTTGGAAAGCACCCCCCGCCCCTGCCCCAGCAGTGATCATTACCTAATGCCACCATTCCTCCCTCCCCCACTTTTTTTTTTTTTTTTTTTTTTTTTTGGAGACAGGGTCTCTGTGTAGCCCTGACCATCCTGGAATTCACTCTGTAGACCAGGCTGGCATCGAACCCAGATCCGTCTGCCTCTGCTTCCTGCATGCTGGGATTAAAGGAGTGCGCGACCCCTGCCCGGCTCCACCACTCTTTGTGTAGTGGTTTGTAAGCAGAATCTCCCAAGTGCCCCACATTAATGAGCAGAGAATGAAGTACTGTTCCTTTCAAGAATACCAGAGCCAAGTGGGAAAGCACAGAGAGACTCATCCCCTCCCTCCCTCCCTCCCTCCCTCCCTTCCTTCCTTATTTCATGTGCCTTGCCTGCATGTATGTCAATGTAAGGGTAGAACTGGAGTTGCAGACAGTTGTGAGCTGTCATGTAGTTGCTGGGAATTGAACCTGGGTCCTCTGGAAGAGCAGCCAGTGCTCTCCACCTACTCATGCTTTTGAAGATTACAAAGCACAGCAATGGTCAGTACCAGAGCCACAGGACAGCTTGGCAGGGCCCTCCAGGCAGTCCTTTAAGATGCCAGGAAGAGGACCTTGAACCTGGTAGGAGGCATGTATATCCTGGCTGACCAAACCACTCTGCTCACCTGCCTGGCTCACCCCTTCTTGTTCCCTCCTCCCAGCCTGTGTTTTAACTCACAGGCTTCGGTCGTACGGCTGCAGCTCCTGCTTCCCTGAGGAGGGTACAATGGCTGGGTGAGGGATGGCTGCCGGGTGTCCAGGTACACCGGATCCCAGCATCAAGGACGGGTGGGTGAACCTGGAGGTAGGAGGAAAGGCAACTCTAAACCAGGGATCTGGGTAGACTTTGAACACACACAGCGAGCGGTCCCTGACAGAGGACACAATCGACAGATACCTTATATCCACTGGCCTGGACACGGTACACAAATATGTATGCATGGACATTGCAGAAGACCCACGTGTGTGCTATTCAGGTGGTTTTCAGTCCTGCCCCTCGCCACATGCTCAGTAGCTACCTGTGAGGCTTGCTCTCCCACTTCTCCTCCAGGCCCCTCTCCACACAAGAGACAGACTTTTAAAAAGAACGCCGCTAGCCCACTCCAGCTCAAGTTTCCCTGATACATAACAGAATAAAACTCAAGCTCCTGCTTGGGGCCTTTAAAGCCCTACAAGCACCCACACTGCATCTCTCATCCCATCTTCCTGCTTTCCTGTCACCACTGCCCCACCCCCCAGCCAGCTTCAGCTTCTCTGTCCACTTTCCTGAGGAATTACCTTCCTATAAGCCTCCCTGACCTCATGCTTGGTTGGGGTCTTCTTGGGGCTTGTCTTCAGCCCAGCTGGCCCACTCAGCTGTTGGGGCTGTATCTTTACCTCCTGCCATGGGCTGCTGAATGCCTTGCCCATGGCATGCCCGGCACCAGGTGTGCCACTAGGATGAGCTAAAGGAAAGGGGGCACACACCCACTCCCTCACACCTCTTTCCTGCTGTTGTGTGGAGACTCCTCTGCCCTGTGCTGCTTGCCAGGTCTAAGAAACCTGAGCAGGCAGGCTCTCGAGTCGAGTCCAGAGGCTAGGGACACTACCTCCCAGGTACTGCCCTGGCTTGGGCAGAGCTCGGAGGATGCCCCAGCAGGGGTGGGCAATAGAGCTGCTGTTAACCACATGTGCATTCAGTCCTGGCTGCTCTGGGGTGCTCTGTCCAGGGTGGCGTGGGCTGAGGCTCCTACTGCTAGTGGTATCTTCAGGTACAGAGCAGCATGGGACTCCAAGGTGACAGACAGACAGATAGACAAACAACTGACACAGGGTAAGCACTGGCTTGAACATAGCCCTGTGTGGGCACTGAAGCCTGGGCAACAGGAAGCAGGAGCCTGGCTGCAGGGATAGGGGACTCACCTGGGATAGGGGGCGCCAGGGGCTGCAGTGGGGGCAGGGAAGTGCTGTCTATATCCGCAGGAAGGGGACAGGGGGTAGAGAGGAGGGCTGGGCCTGTGGTTGGGAGAGACAGCTGTTAGCCGTCTGACTGCTAGCCAGACATGGGGAAGGACTTCCGTACCTTGTGTGGTGGGACTCATACAGTGCTGCATGCACCTGTCAGCTGTCACCGATGTTTAAAGGTTAGAAATGGCAGCCTCCTCCCAGAACCTGGCATCTATAGCCCCTCTTCTGTCCCAATCTGCCTGCTTCAGCTCTTCATGTTTATGTTTTTAATGTGTGTGAGTGTTTTGCCTGCATGTATGTCTGTGCACCACATGCATGCCTGGTGCTCTAGGAGGTCCAAAGATGGGATTAGATCCCCTGGATCTACCATATGGGTGCCAGGAACCAGATTGGGTCCTCTGAAAGAATAGCCAGTGCTCTTAACTGCTTAGCCGTCTCTTCAGCCCGCTTCCACTCAAAAGCCCGGGGTCCCAAGGTGAATGAGGTGTCTCTCTGGGCTCCTTTAGTCCCAAAAGTCAAGACAGTGTGACCAGTGGCTCGGAACTGGTGGCTTCTTGCCTAGCTGTCCACTAGACAGACTTTGTTCTGAAAGGGCAGGGGCCTAAGGTCATAGTCAGCTCCACCGGTGTTTCTCTGGCACTCAGCTCCCTTCCCAGCACACGGATGACTCAGTGCAGAGATGAAAATGACCCATGGCTCACCCAGCAGCAGCTAAGAACACAGGGCTTCCCTTCCCTGGGCCTATACCCTTCTCTGGAGGTTCAGTTGATGAATATCCTCTTAAGGCTCAGATCTCCTGGTCTTTGGAGCTTCAGGCCTAAGGGCCTTATTAGGAGGCTGTCAGAGCACTGGCTGGCACCATCCGGCCGAGCACTGAGCCCCACCTTGGTCCTGGGGGAATCACGGGGTAGAATGGAACTCTGTCCAAACAATCTGGAAATGGAGGAGTGTGCTGATCATGGATAATGGGCGAGTGGAACAGGACCGGTAGGCCCAGGTGGAAGGCCTGGCCTTCACTGCCTTCTTGGGGAGACAGCCTTTCCTGCTACTGGTTAGAGCCCTGTTCAGGTCTCACTGGTTAATGAGTAAAAGGTCGGCCAAGTGGCCTATCGAGACCCCATTCCAGCTGAGAACAGACTCTGGTCCACAGTCAGGCCTGGTCCAGCCTTAACAGACCCTCCCAGTCAGGAGGTCAGGAGTGTGGCTCAAACAAACACCAGAGACCAGGAAGACCAAAATGTTCCTCATATTGCTCTGTCAAAGATGGGTTGGACGAGCAGCAGACACTGAGGCCATCAGGAAACTACCTGTCTGCTTACCAGGCTGCTCAGAGGCAGAAGCTTCTCCCGGTGGGGGTTTATACGCCTCCTTGCACATGTTCAACTTTTCTTTCTCACTTTCTGGAGAATTTAGTGGGGGAGTGCTGAGACCAGCAGCCAGCTTTCCTACCTCCGTAGAGGAAGTACGCCAAGCTACCTGCAGGATGCTCACAGTCTCAAGAATTGCTAGCTCAGAGCCCGGGTAGGCTAAAGCTGCTGGCTACAGAGCTAGCAGCTTGGGTCTCAACAAGATGGGTAAAGGAGAAGCATGGGAGGGCAGACACAGTGCCCCTTTTTCTCTGGGCCCCCACTTACCAGCTCACAGTGTGGGGGAGCTGTCCCATGCTGCCTGAGGTCAGAGAGTAAAATCCAGAGAGATCAGGGGTCTGCAGCGGCCTGTGAACTCCTGTAGTGGAAAGGGGCCGAGTGAGTAGGCCACCCTCACCTGGGAGGTTGGGACATTCAGCAGTTACTATACCTTGGAGCCTCCTACAGGGGCCTCTAAGATCCCGCTTCCTTTTGCCAGGGGTCCACGTATCAGCTGGTTTGTTTAGAACTGTCCTAGGGTAATAACAATGGCCTTCTGACAGAGCAAAAGGGACCAAGGACAGAGGTGCTGAGGGACTTGCCTGAGAACACTGGCTGGACAGAGGCAAAGCTTGGAGTCACTCGGGAATGAGGTCAGACCTCACCAGTTCCTGGGGCACTGCTGCTCTGTCTTGCTTAGGACTCGGCCTGGCTCTTGGGGGAGAAGGCAGCCCCCTAGTCTAAAGGAACCTGGCCTGAAGAGCCAGGGCTCCACCCAGCCCCAGGTTGAGTCAGCAGGTTTCCCACAGCTGACAATGGTGGATTTCAGAATGACTTTGGCTGAGGCTGAGGTGAGTCAGCCGTCACAACCACCACTTTCCATTTTCTCACCGGGGTTGGAGAAAGGCCATGAGTTTACAGCTGCGGCACTGCACAGATGCCGCTCTCACCCTGGCATGGGGGTCCGAAACCCGTTCTGATCTGGTCCCCCTCCCCATGCTCTGTGCACAGTGCTCTCAGACTCTCAGTCCGTTTATGTTTTGTTTTGTTCTTTAAACGCCCCCTTCTGAGGCAGGATCTTGTTCTTGTAGCCCAGGCTTGTCTGGAACTCACTGTGTAGCCCAGGCTGGCCTCAAACTTTCAATCCCCCTGCCTGTGCCTTCCAAACTAGTTGCATTATAAGTGTGGTATGTACCACCACACCTGGTTCCTTTCTGACATTTTCTTTGGGCCCTGGGTTTGCAAAATCCCAGCTTCTATGGTTATAAAATGTTGGCCAGCCTATGTGGCCTCAGAAAGAATTTGGGCCACAAGTTCCTACTTCAATGGGCTTCTTCCATCCCCATGCCATACCTTGCTTCTGGCTGATGTCCGCAGGTGCAGGGGTCGGGTGTGGACTGCTGAAATGTTCGTAGAGTGGAGAAAGTTGGGGGACGCCATGGGGGGGCTGGCCAGCCTTGTTATGCTGAAAAACAACCAGGAGGCTGGTAAACGTGGAGTGTTCTGGGACAGAGGGACACAGGGGACTGCGTTCTGTGGTCGGCCTGGCAGTCAAAATCACAAGCTGATGGGAAGAGGGCACCTACACGCCTTGCGTCCTTGTGACAGTTTTCCTGCGTCCCAACCCTGCAGGACTGCCTGTGCCGTCCCACCTGCTTGTGAGCAGCGTCTTCTGGGACACTCAAGTGTTTCTCCTCTCGGAAGTCCTTCCTGGCCTCCTGGTCCCAGAGACCCCCAATGGCTGGCTGCAGCCTTTGCCTCCTGCAGTGCCCAGACTGTCCCACCTCAGGTCTAACCGTGTGTTGGCACAGGGCAGGGACCTCCTTTAGCCCCTAACTTTGGTGAGGTCAGGTGGTACCTGGCTCCCCCAAGGGACAGCCTGTCCGCACACAGCTCTTGTGTTTCCTCAGCTGCAGGGCTCTTCACAGTCACACAGTCTGTCAAGAGATGACTCAGCAGGCTGAGAGAGCGGGCCCGGCCACAGGGAGTCGCTGCCAGGCCTGGTGTCTTCAGAGCTCTTGCAGGGCAGAGTCCTGGGGGCATCTACAGCTGAGGCTCAGCTCCCACCCCGACAAGCCTGTCTGTGGGAATGTTCCTGGCTGAAAGCACACAGGAGTAACTACTCACTATGGCACCAAAGGGAGAAACGAGACATCTTGGAGCGAGACAATGGAGAGAACGCCTGGGAAAAGCAGGTAAAGGCCGGTGTGGGCATTTTGGCAGAACCACCATCAGATCTTGTGTGTCTTCTCCTGGAAGTGAATGAGGTCTAGCACAGGTCCCTTGCTTGGTACTGGGCATTGCAGCTCTAGGGTGAACCCAGAGGGAAAGCTGGGCATGAGGCCTCTAATTGGGCACAGCTCCAGGAGATCTCTACAGAAGTCCTGGTCTGCCATCTTTCTCTGCATCCTGCCTTTCGCTTGTAATATACACCTTTCCCAAGTCTCGGGCTACCCAGGCTTCTCTCTGCCTTAGACAAACAAGAGTTGATGTCTGAAGCGAAGTATGTTGGTGCTCCCCTATAGTCCCAGAACTCAGGAGGCAGAGGCAAGTGGATGAGTTCAGGGCTAGCCTGGTCTGAATAGTTTCAAGCCACAGCCAGAGCTACATACTGTGTCCATTAAGGGAGGTGAGGAGTGAACTGGGGTAGCTATGAGATGTGTGGACACATGTTAGGCACTGTGTAGACATTTGTAAGTACCTCAGCTCTAGTCCTAAAATGTCCCCAAACTCCATACTTATGCAAGTACTCTGTTACTGAGCTACATCCTCAGCCCTCAAAAAAGAACCTTTGACTCTGCCTGTGTGCTATGGACTAACTCGGTTACTATTAGTTCCATTCTTCCATTAACTGAGGACTGCTCAGAACAGACAACCTTGTCATTCTTGACACTGACCCCTGTGTCCAATTTCTCGGCAGATTCTACTGTTCTACCTTCAAAATCTAGACCCTAACCACTTCCTGCCTCCTTCTCAACCAGTCTAAGCCATCACTTCTCACCTGGACCAGTGATCCTCTCTGCCCCTTAGCCAGGCTCCAGTACACAGAGCATGCCACTCTACCTGACTATCTCCTTACCTGGTGACAGCTCTGTGATCACCCCCAGCTCCCTAACAGCTTACTGTGTCTGCTTACAGTGCCAAGGAACCCCCCAGCACTCTTACCCAGGGCTAAGTTTTGAGGTACACCATGGTGTGAAGGAAGTTGGAAGCTCTAGGCTTGCTCACCATTTCCTGATCCTGTCACTCCAGGACCCTGATCTGGACCTCTCCGCTCCTAAACAGAAATGGCAATCAGTCCTGCCCACCTCATCCGTCATAAAGAAAGAAATCTTGCTGAGACCCTTTACAATAGGAAGCTTCCTGATAATCTTTAAGGCCCTTTTTATCCTCATAGATTGCAAGACAGTGCCAGCCAGCCAGCAGCCTCGTGGTAACTCCACTCCTTCGTGAGAATTAGACTCTGGCATAAGGCACCACACCACTCACTGCCCAAGGCCTAGTTTTGCTTCCTGAGCCCCAGGGTGCAGTGCAGCTCTGACTGGGCCCAAGAAACCTCAGAGATCCAGCTTGGCCTGTAACTCCTACTGTGTGTGTGTGTGTGTGTGTGTGTGTGCGCGTGCGTGCGCGTGTGCGTGTGCACACACCAGCGCAGCGAGGTTGGGGTTGGGAGTCCTGGGAATGGTGGGCCTGTCCTGTCTCCTAGTGTTTCCTGGTATTTGGGGAAAGCCTCATTAATTGGAAGTCTGCAGCCAAACCCCAGAAGCACTGGGCGGGCAGATTGGGGGCAAAGAACCCAGCAGCCGCCAGAGGCGCTCGAGGCCAGGGCTCCCGGGAAGGCACTGTGGGCCTGGCCAGTCCTTCCCATGCTTGTGCAGTCTGCCTCGACCTCCACCTCCTCAGCCCCTTCCATGCTTGATGGCGCTGGCCAGGGGGAACTGTCTGCCACAAAGTTCCCTACCCTCTGCAGCCGGGAGAACGTCCCGCTCCAGGGCTTCAGCACAGGGCTGTCTCAGCGCCAGACACCCCAACAGGGTGGGGTCGCCTAGGGCTTGGCGTGTGCCTGGGAAGTCCAGGGACTTGAGATCCACCTCCCTCTTCTGCTTGAGGGTGACTGTCCCTAGCCTCCAAGGGAAGCAGGCAGGTTGGGGTGACGGTCCCCACCAGGCACTGAGCACCTCAACAGCACAGTCCCTCATCTCCGTAGGAAAGGACACAGTGAGTGTCAGAGCATAATGGGACATAAACATGCAAGCATGGGTCAGAGACTCAACGGCACTTGCTTCTTTTCCCCACACCCCAGCTCCTTGCCTTGGCCTGAGTGCGGGCAGCTGCTCCCACCAGCCTGTGGCACTCCAGGACAGGTCCAGGACTCGGGCCCCTGGGGTGCCTACAGCTACCCTGCTATTCCCGCCAGGAGTTATCTAGCCTGCTACCCACCTGATAACCAGCTCCCTCCCAACAGAGGTGGCCCTCCTCCCTGCTACTGGCATGTTCCTGCCGTTCAAAGATGCTCCCACGCCCACCCTCAGCCACGGTCCAAAGGCATCTTCTGCAAAGTCCCCACCCCAGTGCCCTCGCCTGGCTACCTCCTCAGGGCAAGGCAGCACAAGGTAGAGATGGGGGACCCCTGAGCTCTCTGCTCAGGAGTTGAGCTTGGGCCTAGCTAGGCTGCCCTGGCCCCCCACTTCCTGTAGGTTCAGGTAAAAAATAAACACAGTCGGCATTTTCCCTGCAGACCGCAGCGGTCTGTTCACAGGGCTGTGAGCTCACTGAGCGCCCCTGTCCCCGCCAGCAGAGAAACTCCCTCGCCTCTGACGGTTGACTCTAAAAACCCCCAAGCGCTTAAGCCCCACAACACTTTCCCAGCGAAGAAAGTTGCCATTTCCTCTGGCCTCAAGCTCAGTGGGGGTGGAAGAACAGGTCCTCTCAAGAAAGCCCTGTGGCAGGGTCTGAGCCACAAGAAGCCTCCCTGGACATCCAGGACCCATGAGCTTGACCAAGAATCAGGATGTGTTCCCGAGCTCCCAGCACGTGCCAGACCAAAGAATGTCTGAGGCTGAGAACGGCATCGGCTAATGCCCTGGTGCTGGCCTCGGGACAGGCACAGTCCTGAGCAGACACCCCTCCTTGAGCAGACCTACCATTTGCAGGCACAGTGACTGTCATCACTGGCAGGTAAGGAGACCAAAGTGTAAGGTCGCAGCTAGAGCTCTGCTGCCAACTGCTACAGTGCAAAGACCTGGGATTAGTATGGCTAGACCAGGAGGCTGGAGTGCAGAGGAGGCTCTATCCGCCTTTCCCTGCGGCTGGACCAGCTAACACTTTGCTGGGTCCGTGCTCCTCTGACTCGAGAGAGTCCTCCAAAGCCGACCTGACAGTGAAAGCCGGACACACCCGAGGCCCTAGCCGTATCTCCCTGCCCACCACCGGCATGCCCCTGTGCTACCTAGACACCCAGCTCTCTGTATCAATGCCTCTTCCCACTCCCATGAGACTTCATACTTCCTCTGCTCCTTGCCACACTGGCTCCTCCACAGACCCAGGTCACCTCTAACCTGGCTAGGGGTCTGCCAGCTTGGCAAGCAACTACCTGAGCATCCTAGAGAACTAATTATCTCCGGCTCTCTAGGCTTTGCACTCCAATCATTCCCTGAAGACTTAGAACGCAGGCCTGGTGGATTCGTGGTGCCCCACATTTCTGCACATCCCACCCACACTTGTCATTGTAACTGCGACTTCAAGTCCCTGGGGCAAGAGGCTGCCTCCAGCTCATCGTGCAGAGCTGGAGAGTGGCCTCTAGGGGACATCTGGAAGAGAGGCAGATGCACTCTAGGCTCTGTGCTCCAGGGCAGACGCTGGCGGAAAGGTGGGTTCCTGCCATGGTGGTTCACTGTGTTTGCCCAGGGCACCGCAGTGGAACTGAGTAGTGTAAACAGAGGAGGCGGCTCCTCTCAGCCAGGCATGAAGCGGGGCTCGGCGGAGGGGATGTCATCCACAGCACACAGCCTGCTGGGCCCCTTCAAGGATTCTTGGGGTCACCAAGGATGCCAGATAGTCACACCCCTCTGAACTTTCCTTTTCTCACTCAGCACCAGCCACAGAAGACTGGAGTGCTCTTCCCATCTCACAGAAAAGAAACTTCCTCTGGGCCTCTCCAGCCCTCCACACGTGGCTTCTTACCTGCCTTCTCTCCTCCCTGTGTTCTGGGATTATGCCTTTAATTTCTGTCGTTGAACTAAAGCTGGCATCCAGGCTGGTTCTCTAGTAGCGGGTGCAGATAAGCCCACGTTCAAAGAGAAGCCTGGGAGCACTGGGGGAAGCCTGGGACTGGATGTAGGGTTACAGCAGCATACGGGAGGGAACTGGGGCCACTTGAGGGTCAGGGGACAGTCCGTCTGGCATCCGAGTCCCCTTGCTTTCCTCTTTTCTACACCTCTATCCCCAAGGGACTCGGAATGACAA